ATAGGAGACACTCTGGAGTATGTAAGGATTTCCGGTGACTCGTAAAATCTCATCTGGCAACCACTGTTAGCCTAGCTACACCAGAAGTCACTCACTGGACACCTCCCACCTAGTAAGTCCTGCTGCACTAACTTACAGAGTCCTCTGATTCAAAAGATGTTTCCCTTTTGTCCTTGAAGGAAGTGTTTAATCAGCAAATTAAAGAGCCAAAAATAATGACCAGGGTAAAAGTAGGTTGAGATGTTTAAATTGTGATATGCTCATTTTTAGCACTTAAAATATCATTTCAGCAATATCACCAAAGTACATGAACTAGAATTTTCATTATTCAATATAACTGGTAAAAGGTGCTTTACCTGATTTTTAAATTGTCACCTTGATTATTGACTATACTTGAAGACAATTAACTTTAAAAATGTAAACTAAAAGACATGAAAATAATTTTTAAAGATAATCCTTAAACTACATGTTGTAAGTTCTTTTCAGAATTAATAATAGCTCATTAATTTTTAAATAAGACCAAAAAAAGCATAAAACATGAATAAAAATAATGCATTTAAACAAAACTTAACATTTTTGCCAAACAGTAAAGACCATAAACCAAAAGGCAACCAGCCACCTGAGAGATTTCCCAACACATACATCCAACAAAGAAAGTAAATAAGAGAGAGAAATCAATAGTGAATATCAGCGAATAATATGAACATGCAATTCCTGAAAGAGCAAATCCATTGTCCAATAAACAGAAAAAGACGTGCGACCTCACCAAGTGGGAAAATGCAAATTGAACAACAAAGAAACTACCACATTGCACTCCTGAGATGGGCAGAAAAATGTTGATGTGTAACATTACCAAGTATGGAAAAGGATATGTCATAACAGGAACGACCTATATCCTGCTGGCAGGATTATAAACTCATGTGACCACTTGGGAAAGCAATCTAGCATTATCAAGTAGCTTGAGAATGGTCACAACCTGTGCCCTGGCATTGCACAAGTGTGCCGTATATACTCTAGAGCAACATTTTCCAAAGTGCCAGTGCTGACCAGCAGTAGCAGCAGCACCTGGCAGCTTGTTAGAAATGCAAATTCTCCAGCCCCAGCCCCAACTTAATGACTTAAATGGGAGTGCATGTTTAAGAAACCCTCCAGCAGATTTGGATACATGCTAAAGTTTAACACTTTAACTGTCGTGTGAGTTATATTTAACTCACGCTAGTTTCGAGCCTGGGGCCTGGTGAAGCAAAACCTGGGCAAAACCCTGCAGTTGGTTCATGAAAATCTTACTTGTTGATGTTCTTGTTGTTAATATTAATATTGACAAGTTAATTCTAAAAACATGGATTAAATGAATAGAAGTCAATAAATTTTGTTTTTCATTAAATTTTTTATTAAATTAGAAAAGTTTGTTTTGTTTTCCAAGTTTTTATTCTTTTTTGTAATAAAACACCATGGCAAACTTTTTTTTCTAGTGTGGCAGTCAATGTGTTAAGAACCAATAGAGAAACTTCACACATTAGTTCTCCTGTTCCAACGGGAGACTGTGTCAGAAGGATCCTAGGGGCATTCGTTGATAACATTCTCTAGAAAGGTGTGTCTGGCAGACCTTGGTTTACTAGTACAGTGTCACTTGAGAATCAAAGGATAACGTGCAAACATCCCATTTCCTCAAATGGACACATCTGCACAGAGATATACACATAGATGTACGTATTTACACAAATAAAGCATTTAAAACCATCTAAACACCTACCAATAGAAGAATGGATACAATCGTATATTACGTAGCAGTTAAAACAAATGAAGTGGATATATTAATACACATATCAGCAGGGATAAATCTTAAAAATATAACGCTTAATGAAGAAAGCAAGTTGCAGAATGATAACTATAGGCTGATACCATTTAACATTAAGTTAAAATCTCACCCCCCAAAA